GGCTGCCCGCTGTGCGCAGAACACCAGCCGGGTGGAGTCCAGTCCCAGGCTGTGCCTTGGCCAGGGCGCGAGCCAGCGAGTGAGGGGAGGCTTGGCCCCAGCTGCCTGAGGCTGCGTCTCCCGCGCAGTGTCTCTTTGGCCCATGAACCTTTGTTAGAATAGTTTTTTTTTGATTGATGACTTTTTAATGCTTATTTATTTATTTTTAGAATTTTTTTTTTAAAGATTTATTTGTTTCATCATACAGAACTGGGCGCAAGACAGAGGTGCAGGGGGCGGTGAGAGGACTCCCCAGAGACAGAGTGGGGAGCAGAACAGGCAGATAGATGAAGCACACCTCCGAGGGGAGCAGTGGGGGGTCACGAGAGGTCTGCGGCGCCCTGTGGTCAGCTCCGGGGTGGGCGGATCGAACTCTTGCAGAAGTGGCTTGAGCTCCCCAGTGCTGGCTTTAACCCGCTGCGCCCCCAGGGAGGGCCGTTAGAATAGCTTTTAATTAGCGGCCCTTATCATCCATCCCCTGGGCCTGGAGCCCTCTGTGACACCGTCTCATGGGCTGTGAAGTCTGCCGCCGTGCGCTTCTGCTCGTCTGCCCGTCCCCCGGCTAATGCTGTGAGCTGCAGGCGCCAGTCTGCCGAGCGAGGCTCCCCGCCAGCGCCTGACCTTTCTAGGGCTCCACCGTCCTTATACTCCTCTGCGCTACGGTCTTCCGTAAGCTCCTGAGGTTAGCAGCCGTCTGGGTCCCAGGCAGCTTTCCTAGATTCTCTGTGCCCTGTGATTTCCCTCGTCTGCCGAGAGGAAGAACAGTCCTCACGACCTGTCGCTCCGCAGCGTCTGGGACAGACTGTGTCACCGTAGCCACGCACCAAGCATTTGTCCCGTGGACACAGCCCAGTGTTCTGAGCCCCAAGAGCAGCCCGCTCCGGGGGGGCTGGCTCCTACCTGCCGCCCCGACCTGACAGCTCGCCGGCTGCCGGGACAGCTTGGTGAGATGACGCCTGTTTGTTCTGTCCACAGTGGAGAACCTCAGCCACTGTGAGTTTGCCCTGCTTCGGGACTTTGTCATCAGGTAAGGCCCCACGGGGGCAGGTGTTGTTCTCGGGGTCGGCAGGCCAAGTCCAGGGCACTTCTCAGACAGCCGCACTTTCTGCACTGCGCCCGGCGCCCACCAGGAAGCAGGAGGGGCTGAGGCGCGTCACCGGTTCATGTTATTCTGAGAGGGTCTCGGCCGCTGGGTCTTCGGGTCCTGGCCTCAGGCGCTCGTCTCCCCGCCCTTATGGCCCCCCTGCGCTCTCCCCTCATCCTGCAGAACCCACCTCCAGGACCTCAAGGAAGTGACACACAACATCCACTACGAGACCTACCGGGCCAAGCGGCTCAACGACAACGGAGGCCTCCCCCCGGTGAGCGTGGACACGGAGGGAGGCCAGGACAGCAGCCCATGACGACACTCCCGTGGCCATCCCACCCCTCTCCACACACATCCCAGCACCACCACCACCGCCCACTTCTTCCTCTCCACTGTCCACAGGCCTGTCTGCTCTCCGTGAAGCATCTGTCTGTGTGCGTGTGTGCCTGTGTGTGCGAGAGTGCAGGGGGGAGGTAGTTTCGCTACCCTCCCGGGAAAGTCCCTTGGAAGTTTGGTTCCTCCATGGCTGTCCATTATCTGTCCTCTTTCCTTGTGTCCCAGAACCAAGCCGTGAGCCTCGCTCGAGAGGTCTAGGGGAGGTTTCATTTAAAAATGATGGGAGCAGGTGAGCCACAGGTAACTCCTTCCTATCTCTGAACCTGCCACCACCCTGGGATGCACAGGTTCTCCACGCTGGCCCTGGGCTCTGGTGGGGGAGTTGAGGACTGGCCCCTCCCTGTGGGCCGGGGACAGTCTGGGGACAGGCTGGGACTTCCCTGGCAAGGAAGGGCTTGGGGAGGGAGAGGGGTAGGCTGGAGCCTGCCAAGCGGAGAAAGCGCCACCCTCCGTCTGTGTCCCCTGCCTGCATCCGACGGCTGTCCACACCCACTGTCTCCACACCGTCCCCCCCGCTTCTGTCCACTCCCACTGTCTCCACACCGTCCCCCC